ATAGACGCGATATACCTTACAGAGGCCTTGCTTGGCTTGCGGTTGAACATTTGGATTGTAAGACGAAACCGGGATGGGCGCAGGGTTACGGGTGGCCTGAAGAGGCACTGAATCAGGCAGAGGAAGAGGTCGAACTTGGAATGGAAAGATCGAGCGCATTGGTTGCACAAGAAGACCGCCTGAGTTCTCTAAAGTTCGACGAAGGAGCACGGTACCTGGGCCCGGAATTCGAATAGATGCACTAGTAACTCCAGTATTTGTGATTGCAGATGGCGTCTGCTGTCGAGTAAGAGCCGAGTAAGCGGCGGCGCCAGGCGGATGTACACGTGGTCTAAGAATAGAAGGTAGCTGGCTAATATTCGGTGGCCCAAAGCGTGGCCCATTAGAAGAAGCTCCGGAGGAATGAAAAATCCGGGGTGCGATAGATGAGCCATAAGGACTAGAGCTGATGCGAGGGGCAATGTTGACACAGGCCTGCTTGCGAGGTCCAAGAGCAATACTTGTATTCGTGGATGGAGAGGTACGGAAAGAAGTTGTTGGACATTGAGTCTTGGCTAAAATAGGCGTAGGAGATCGTAGAGAAGTAAATGAGTACGAAGAGGTAGAGGACAGAGAAGAGGCACATGGTGAAGCAGGACGGAGACAGTCTTTGAGACCAGTTGGACCAGCCGAGCTAGATTCTATGGTCGAATCATCATTCAAATCTTCGAGAATGCGACGCTGCTCCCGACGAAGCTGGCGTTCAGCACGTTCACGAGCTAGGTTTATTGAAGCTGCCGACGTACTGGCGTCAGCAACAAGAGTTGCGGCCACAGGGGACATCGTAGAAGTGTCATCAGTTGTATTTTGGCGCATGGATTCCTGGGTCATGCAAACACAAACCAAAAATTAACTCTAAATCTTTTATGGTCTTGATCAGAGTTAATAGGCTCAAATTATATATTATGATTAGCAATAACAATAAAAAAGGACTAGGAAAAATTAAGGTATAACTTTTTATCAAAATAATGGCATGGTGCTTAAAGAATGATTTGAGTAGTATAAATATATTCAATACGAAAATTATCTCAAGATACCCTTCGCTCCTTTTCCGCTTGCTCATGATCCTTCCTAAGCCGTAGTCTGGCAAGCCGGACGGCCTCAGCCATTACTGTAGAAGCGTCATTTGAATGTAGACGAGAACGCAAGTCAGCCTGGAGTGCATATAAGGCAGCCACAAGTGCCTCAAGCTGGAGAGATCGGTCACGGAGATCTGTGTAAACAGGATCAACTTCAAGACCTGCCCGAGTTTTGCGACGCGCTCCCTGGCTAGACTGAATAGACGGTGAGAGATCCGGGTGAGCCAGTCGTGGTAACTACCAAGCAAAAAGTGTAGAAATTTAACCGCAATATATCTGGTATTATTTCGCTTCCGCAAACCATAAACTTACTAACATCCTTTATCATATCAATATGAAGGCCTGTGAACAGAGTATTAGGCCTCAATGAATACGTGATGATCTTACGTCCGTCATTATAAGCACATCATTAGAGCCAAAACTGTTATTTACAAACAATCCCCCAAAAACACTAAGCCAAAAAGGTGGCCGGCTAAAAAAGAGATCAGGATACTTCTAAACATCGAAATGAGACTGCGATCAATAGTGAATTTGAGTTTAAATGTTAGGTATGTGATAGATGCCAACCTCAATTAGCCAGTTCCTTCCACAAGATTATTCGTCTATTTCCTTAATCCTAATTAATATTTGTAGATATCCTGTCTATTTTTCTACATTCATTAATTTTATTAGAAAAGGTTATGCGCGAAGAGTGAACTTAAACTCTGTGTTCGTCCAACTTACCGCCACTTCTGATGGCTCGATTAAAAAGTTCTTACAAGTTACCTTCGGTGCCATTCTCTTTTTATTAGTCCTCATAAAGTAGATCACACGAGCACAATGTTTGATAAATGTCTGGCTTAAGCAAAAGTGGTGCAGCAATCCTGGGGACATTAAACTGAGAGCTTGATTAATAAATGATGAGCATTGATGTATTTTCAAATATGATTCGTCAGAACAAAGAGCAATACCTGAATAGTAGAATTACATAACATAGAAAAAAAGGCACAAGCCCATCATTATCAGTGGGATTGTGGGGCTATAATAGGCTTAAAGACAACTGAGGAAATTATTTGGTATATGAGATGTATTTACTCTAATCACAATCTCTAAAACTGATTTGAATTGCTAACGGGATAAAATGAAGGGTTAAAACAGATTAAGCGACCCAGTCTTTAGCTAAGAATTGTTGGTAGTCTTAAGAACTAACCTATTCATGGTTAACTGTCCAGATGAAAGTTTTCTAGGCATTAAATATTGCTAAATATATAGACATGGCCAAATAAAGCAATCCATTTTTGTAGGAAGACAATAAACCAGGTACTAAGTCCATAGCTATCTATATATAAATCCAATTCTCCCGCTCAACCTTGAAGATAAGTATATAATAAAGCTAAAGTAAAATTTAAGATTTCTTCCTTAAGGGGAGGACAAAAAGTCTCGAACGTACAAGCAGTTAGAAATAACTCAAGGTTGTGGTTGAACGTTTCTGATTTAGATTTAAAATAAAGTTAATTAATCTAGTTAATTGAGTATCAAAAATCATGATAAAGTGGGATTTCGATATGAGGCTAACCTTAGCCCTTCGAGAGGTCCTGGCCCTCGATGTCTTTATTTGTCGTTTTCGATGTCTACATCTCGTAGAGCTGAACTCCAAGTTTTCTTCTGTAGCTGCTTCCGAGTCTTCGCCGGAAGAAGCAGCATCCTCTCTCTCGACAACTGGTTTTTGAGTGGGTGAGGCTTGGTCATCACGTGGAGATGAAGTCACCCCAGTGGTTTCGGGGGCTGGAGGCTCGCTTGGTAAGTTAGTGTGTTCCACCTGGTAAAAATTGACGAGTTGGTCGCGAGCCAAGTCAAGATGACCACGTATGTGCTCAATAAGCTGACCCAGAGAGGCAAGATCATCAGCGACAAGAGAAAATTCTTTGGGATCTGGCGACTGAGAGAATTTGAAGAACGAAGGTGAAATCAAGCTAAGCACTAAAGGCCATGCAAGTATTTACAGCTAAAGTCCCGAAGCCGAAATCGCCGTGGGATCCGCGATATCGGTGGGTTCTAAGAATAATCAAAAATTACATTTTTTTTCAAAAATCCCCTCTAGCCGATAACGTGTAAATGCAGAATAATAGACTAATCATAGCAACCTGAAGAGAATAAAACATTGTGAAGAAAATCTTAGTGAATTATTACCTAAGGTCGAATAAAAACTGATTGGACACAGTCTGGTGAAATAATGGTGGAGCCATACAAACTATCCGGTTTCAAGCTTCACAAAGAAATGGGGTGCAACCTAGGCGAGGCTGAAAATAAATCAAGCAATAAAAGCTTAAAT